CTCCAGCAAAAACATGTTTCAAACAGAGAGAAAACAAGAGTGAGTTCAGCATGTTTAAAGAACAGAAAGAAGGATGGTACATAGTTGTGGGGAAAGGGGAGTAGTACAAGATAAAAATGTTGGATGATATCAACAAAATTTTATATTATTTTTAAATTATTTCCTCCACAAATCTTGGACTAATGCTAAGCACAGCTGTATCATTTCAATACCTACCAGACCATTTACAGATGTAAATTAAGGCTGGACCAACATAGCTACCTCAAAAGAATGCAATTATCTAGCTAATTGAGGACAAGGACATAATTAATCTAAATAATTGGACCCAAAAGGATTGTATTAACTCCTTGGGTACACTGATAAAATAGGGTAAATAAGTATCAAGCTCCTCCTCCTCGGACTATTGTTACATAAACAGCAGAAAAAACGATTATGGAAACATTCTGACAATAAATTGCCTGTGAAGTTAAGATCAGTTACCAATTACATATCTCTGGCAGAAAAAATTCAACTAACCAATTTAACCAAATATCATGAGCCAAATACTTCTGAGATAACTACTGCTGCAAATAATTTCTACAGCCTTAGCCTGCATTAAAATAGGCTACTGTAGATAGGGGGAACTATCTAAAACTTTGAAGGGATTTTTCTGGTTTACATGAAAAGGAATTTCTTATTTGTATTACAGAGACTTGTTTCATAGTCTTTATGTATATGACTGTATAAAAGGAATGACTGACCTGCTATATATCATAAACTCAAAATGCAAGGTTGCTCATTTCTCTGCCTAGTCAGGAGATATGCTGGGGGAAAAAACAAGCAAGTAGAGAATCTGATTGCAAAGAAAGAGTGAGAGTGAGCAAGAGTGCAAAAGCTCCCTGCCTTGTAATAAATGTGACACTTTAAAATGAACTATTCTATCCAGATGTTTCTCTATAATTTGTGGTCTAGACTCTAAGCAGAAAAAAATGTACTGAATCCTCAATATAGTTGTAGGTTAGGAAAAATCAAATTCCCACCTTGAGAGAGTGATCATATCAAAATGTGAAAGTGGAGAGCTTCTGGGTACTCAAAATGCCTCTCACAAGTCCATCTAGGATGATAGCTCAACTCCTCCAGGAGGACTTCTCTGATTAAACTGTGTCATTCAACACCTCCTGAAAAATTGGATGTCCAGGTTATATTCTATTACACACTGCTTTGCAATGATTCTCAATTGCTTAATCTTCCTACCTAGACTATCAATTTCTCAAGAGCAACAGTTTGACTTCATTCTACAAACATCCATTGCTGACTGCCCCCACCCTTGCCCTAGAAGTTCCCAGCAGAGGAAGTCCCACATAGGGGTGGAAGATACGTATGCATACAGTTATTAATAGAAACATACTCCAGGGACAAGTCTTCCCAGAATTATCAAGGGATTGATCCATCTCACTACTCCTCCTTATGGTCACTCGACCATTTTACTCCCTACCAGTTTCTCCACACATCAGGCATATGGAAGCCACTTAACTCAAGTACACTACTGCATATCAATCTGTCCTGTTAACCGAGTCCACCAGACAAAAAAAGTCCACCAGACAAAGGCCAAGAGAGCCAGCTGTCCTGACAGCTCAGGGAAAGGGGAAACAATTATCTGGTTTACCTGAATAACTCAACAAGTAAAACAGGGCTTACAATGGAGAGTTAAGGTTTAGGGGCATTGTAATAATATGTTAATGCATGAAAAAAGATTTGCCATGTTCTTATAGAAAAATACTCAAGGAAAACTACTTTGCCTTCAAAAAGGTGATAATAATAATACTATTATTATATAGTAATAATTACAGTTTACAGAGTGCTTTCACGTTATTTTTGAGTTTCACGTAGCCTTATGAAACAAGATACACCAATTATCCCCATTATTAAACAAAGAAACCAAAGTTCAAAAAAGTAACATGAAATACACACAATAATGCAATCAGCACAGCACCAAACCCAAGCTTAAGCTCACTGTCCGGACGCATAAGTTCAACACTCTTTCCACAATCTCTTTGTACATTTTTTTCCTGAAAAGTTTAAGTATGGCTATTGAATTGTATGACTCCTGGGACATATGGGAAGTTCTGCACTGTAAGTAGTTAGAAGAAAGGGACAACGTCTCTTTAACACATTTCGTATTGCTTGAGTTCAGTCCTCCAAGTGTGTAGCTTGGTCAACAGTGCAGTTGACGCTGATGTCCAAGCTCACAGCTGAAAGAGATTTTCGTACCTTTGCATTGTGGTTTATTTTTCTTAACCTTACCTCTCTCACTCTGATGCATTTCCTCTCTGAAACTAAATTCCTACCACCAACTGACAGAACATTTCAAAATAACAATGACCAAATCCCAAAGTCAGCCAGCTAGATGCACAGGCAGGGAAATGTTTGGGAATGGCTTCTCCAAGACAAGCACAGATCCATCAAAGTGGTGATGCAATAACTCCCTGCTCATCATGTCGTGTCCTGCATGATTTGGGTCTGCACTCACTATCTTGCTCTCCTCTGAACAAAAAGAAATTTTTGGCAAAGAGCAAGCTGGAGGAGAGAATACCATGCTCTCACATGCACTGTCCTTCACAAACAAAAGTGAGGCTGTTCCTCAAACTACTCTTTGAGTATTTTTTTTTTCAATATGACTTCCCTTTAGGTGATAAGGGATGTGCTCCTAGGGAAATAAAAAAAGTCAATCAAATATTAATAAAGAAAATTATTTCCCCAAGAAATCATATTTTCCCCCAAAATTTGATTTTTACATTTTAGAGCTAGCTCATCATACCTTACCATCATCCTATTTCCTTTCTTTTCTTTTTTTTTCTTTCTCTTTTTTTTTTTTTTTTTTTTTTTTGAGAGGGATCGGAGTTTCACTCTTGTTGCCCAGGCTGGAGTGCAATGGTGCAATTTCAGCTCACTGCAACCCTGACCTCCCAGGTTCAAGCAATTCTTATGCCTCAGCCCCCTGTGTAGCTAGGATTACACGCAGGCGCCACCACACCCAGCTAATTTTGTATTTTTAGTAGAGACTGGGTTTCACCATACTGGTCAGGCTGATCTCGAACTCCTGACCTCAGGTGAATCATCCACCTCGGCCTCCCAAAGTGCTAGGATTACAGGTGTGAGCCACCACGCCCGGTCCATCATTCTGATTTTCATTTGGCAACGGTAATCCCCCTCATCCCTAAAACTGACAAGGAATACATTAATAAATCAAAATGGGAGCCAGGGGCGGTGGCATAGCTAAGCTAAGGCGCTAAGCTAACCTTCCCCACTGTTACATGAATCTAAAAAACTCGCTTTTCTCTGTATATCACCAGGACAGGATTTAACTCAAGATGGTAAAGGTTAACTGTAAGTCATAAATTTTTCAACGCATAGCTACCTGGGTTCATTCATATCTCTAGGACTAGAATTGCACATATGTTAGCCTCTTCTCTTGAAGCGGAATATTCCTGATGTGTGGCAATGACAGCCAAGGAGGAAAAACAAACTTGGCCAAGTAACTGAGTAGATTCCCACATCCGATTCCATTATGTGAACGTTAAAATAAACTGTAACAAAAATAAGTCTTGAGTCTTAAACTACCTTTTTTTTTTTTGACCGGCGTCTGAGTTAAAGAGTGTGACAGGCCCAAGGTTACAAAGTCATTGCCAGGGCCTCCACAGCCACCTAGGAAATACTGCAGCCTCCGACTGCTGTTTCATTTGCTGGTTAGCCCAGGATGTGGCATCTGATTGATCTCAATTGGAGGATATAGGAACTCTTTATCCAAAAGGACACTGAAATAGGTCAGCAGATATTACTCAAAACAGATTCAGGCTACCTTAAATCCAGAGACATAAGCAGGGTTAAATAGAAGGGTGAGTTTTGGAAAAAGTCACTTGACACAAAGCCTGGCTGGCCCGGGAAAGCTAGAAAACCTGGCCTGCCAATCAACAAAATGAAGTGGTATAAAAAGAAGTTTCGATCTGTCTGTGTATGTGTGTGTATTTAAATAAAAAGTATCTTAACAAGCTGTTAATAACAAAGCTCTGTCTCACATATGTAAAACATCCTTACTGCTGCAGCTTCTCAAAGAAATCCTAAGAGCATCCCAGCCAGTCTTAGGCATCGAGACTGACACGGACGCGTTTTTGCAGCTATGCTTCTAGTTCTCTCCAACCCCAATCCCACCTTTCCCCACTTCCTGCCCCACCACCACTGTCCTAAAAGTCCTGTCTTGCGCTGCACTTTTCCAGGTGCAGCGCCTGGGTTCCGAGGAGCTGGGGAAGAGGCCTGGAGGAGCAAGTGTGGGAGGCGGGGGAGCGGCCTGGGGCCACGTCCTGGAATCCTCTCCCCCAGGAGGGCGCCGAGCCCCGCCGGCTGCAGGGGAACCCGCGACAGTCCTCCCCGCGCTCCCTCAGCAGAGATGCCCCGCAGGCTCGCCTGCTCCAGGCGCTACCGCCCCCGCGCGGGTGACTTGCCACGCTTTAGGTCTTTCCAGAAACGGGCGGTCTGCTCCTGTCCCGAAAATGGGGATGGGGAAGGGGGGCTGCGCGCCCCGCCACCCCACATACCCATACCCTTCCTTCCCGCCGCCTCGCTCGACCGCCCCCGCCGGCCCCTGCCGCCCGCCGCGCTCACCTCGGCCCGCGCCCGCGCTGGTGGCGGTGGAGTTCCCGCAGCCCATCGCGCAGCCGGCCGGGGAAGCCGCGCTCCAGAGCTCTCAGCCGCGGGTCCTGGGGGCGGAGACCCAGACGGAGGGCAGCGCGTCCTGAGCGGGAGGCTGACTAGGGTGCTCTGGGCTGAGGACTGAGTGGAGGGCGCCCCCTGCGCCGCCGGGGGGCGCCGGCCTGGGCGCGGCTGGCTGCGGGGCTACGGGGCGGAAACCACCCAGAGCCCCTCGCCCCCACCCCGCCCCGCCCCGCCCCGCCTCGCCTGGGGACCCGCCAGACCCACCCGTCACCCCGACAACCGCGGCGCCGGCCAATCCCTACCTTCCTCCGCGCTTCGCGGTCGGCCATTGGCCGTCGTTACGAGGGGCGGGAGTTTAAACTGGGCTGGGGCGAGGGCGTGGCCGGTGCGGGTGGGGCGGGGGTGCCCACCTGCCCACCCTCCGCATCCTCCTAGCCTTTGCTTTGCTTTGCTTTCCTCACTTCCCCTCCCTGCTCCAGGATGTGGGGAGGAGCGGAAGTAGCAGGGGGGCTCCTGTTTTCCTCACAGCGGACGCCCAATAAATGCTGTTGACTGAATGATGTTCAGGTCTGAAGTCAAAACCGAAATCCCCTGCTGCTTTAACAGAAGGCCAACGCAGCTGTTTCCCATCCGCACTGCCTGGCAAAGAAAGTAAGTTCTTCCCCAGACTGGTCATATTAACCTATTCCTCTTTAAAACAAATGTCTGCCACGATTTCTAAAATTTGGATTCAGGACCTCCTCTCTGATAAATGAGAGAATTGTGGATGGACACGGTGCTGTCCGTTTCAACCTGATAGTTGGGCCAGTGTTATTGGAGTCAGACTGTCTGGGTGACGGTCTTTGTCTGCCCCTTGATAGCTGTGTGAACCTCAGGAAAGTAACTTAACCCATCGGTACATCCATTGTTTCATCTGTAAAATGATAATAACTCAGGTACATATAAAGTACCTAACAAAGTTCCCTATCCTAAGTAAATATCATATTATCATTATTATTATTAAGTCTACTAGAAGTGACTACAAATTCCTTAAAGGGAAAGACTCTGATTTTTCATAGCATCCTCCCGGCTTGTGATACAAACTCAATAAATGTTTTGTGAGGTGAATGCAAGCCAGGAATTAAAGATCCATTTTAAATTCATTTAATATTTGTAGGGAGCCTAGCCTGTGCCAAGTCCTTTGTTAAGTTCCAGTGATACAGACATGTGGGAGCCAGTCTAACCAAGCAGATGGATTATAATAAATTAATTACAATATAGCCGGGATGTTAACAGAGGAAACAGGTAACAGGTGCTATAGAGTCCCAGAGGATGCTGGGATGCTGGTTAAAAGACTTTCCTGAACCCATACTGTTGTGTTTAAATAAAAATTTGAACCAGAATCAAGGACTTGGCAGTTTTGAACATGATCTTTGAGGCAGTGGTGGGTTCTGTCATTCAGGATGCAAAATACACAGCATTGTCCATTTGCAAATTAGCTATGCTAGCCATGTGCTGAGAGGATAATTAATTCGTGGATAAAGGCATTTTTGAGTTGACTTCTAGAAGTACTGCTTCTCTGCCTTGGCCTGTGCTGTCTTGGTTCAGTGTCCATCCTAATACAAATCCAGAATTGGGTAAAAGGGGACTATCAAGTAGCCAAAAGATATACTCCTGCTTATTTCTGTCCTAGGACACCAGCCCTAGGACACTTGTAAGAGGCAGAAAACAGACCTTGACACCTAGAAACTGGCCTAGAAGTTGTGACACTCATAGCTGGGCCTTTGCATTCTTCTGTTAATCACAGTTGTACAGAACAACAGTATTGCACAAGGCCACTCTATAAATTATGAAATGAGACAAAAAACAAGGCCACTCAGTAATCTTGTCTAAGTGCTGACAAAACAAGGTCATTGTGCAAACCCCCAAGACACCAAAATCTCCCCATCCTGCCTGATATGAATGACTGCTTCTGCTTTACCAGTTATGACTTTAGCCCTGTTCTAGTCTTCCTGCCTTAGAGATGAGGTTCATTAAGAATCTGCAATCATAGAATTGTCCCTGCTTCCTGACAATATCCAATGTGGAAAAAAAAAAGTCCTGCTCCCTTAAATCCCAACCAAAATCACCTATTATGAACCTAAATCCTGTAAGTTCTTTCCTAACACTCACTTACTGAGATATCTCATGGTTCCTCATGGTGTGCATTCTGCCTTATAATGTTATAGATTATGTTATTTATCAATTATTTCAACAAGCTGTATTGAATATCACCTTAAGAGCTCCAGCCGTGAGAAATTACCTGTTGGGTACAATGTACATGATTTGGGTGATGGTTACACTATAAGTCCAGACTTCACCACCACCCAATATATCCATGTAGCAAAAATGCACTTGTACCCCCAATCTATTTTTTTTTAAATTTTAAAGTGCCAGCCACTCTTCTAAATGTTTGAGATACAGCAATGAACAAGGCAGAGAGGAAAAATCAAAATCACATCAAAACAAATACAGTGAGATAATTTTAGATACTCTTAAGTGCAATGGGGAAAAATAAGTGACTGGAATAGAAAACTATGGGTAGAGGAAGAGTTGCTATTGTAGATATAAGGTTGGTGCAAAAGTAATCATGGTTCTTGTTTGCAATCACTTTTAATGGCAAAAACCATGATTACTTTTGCACTAACCTAGCAGAAGGGTTACAGAGGCTCTCTGAAGAGAGGATATTTTTGTGGAGGTCTGGTTGAGGTAAAGAAATCAGACATGAGAAGATCCAAGGAAAGAGGATTCCAGGCAAAGAGAATGACAAGAGCAGAAGCTCTGAGGCAGGAATATGCTGGTATGCTGGGTGTGTTTCATAAACAGAAAAAAAAAAAAAAAAAAAGGCCAGAATTCAAAGGCCCATCTGTGGAGCAGAGATGGGGAGGGTGGGGATTTCAGAAAAGGAGATCAGAACATACACCTTGGAAAGGAGTTAACGTTTTATTCAAAGGGCAAGCAAGGTCATTTGATGAGACAGAGTATGAAAAGTTCCTAGTAAAATGTCAGGTATATAGTAAGTACCCAATAAATGTTAGTACCGTTCCTAATGTAGAATGAAACAAGTCTAGTGCCTCCTTTTTCCTCTTTAGGAATTTTATTTTATTTTATAGACAACAGTTAATTACATGTGGATGCTTTTAAAAACAATGAGTCAAAAGAAAATTATTAATACATGCCTCATTTCCTGAGCGGTCAATTTTAGCTTCTTTCTCTGTGCCAGTCAGATCACACCATTTAGCTGTTGTTTTCATTCTTCTAACCAGAACTGATCTGGTATGAAGGAGAGGGAAGAGGTGTATGAGTGAAATTAATCTGACAAGAAAAAGAAAGCAAGAGGTAGGAGAATATAAAGCTGAGTAAGTCTAAGTTTTCATGATTTTCTTCCCATAAAGAGCTCCCCACAAAAAGTTTGGCAGCCTAGATTTTCTTTTTGCTTTTCTCTTTTTCCCTGTTGACATGCTCCAGCTTGCAATGACCCCAGAAGAACATGGGGAGATGTTGGCTCTTCCATCAACCTGCACCCCTAAGTCACTGCATGGCTCGGGGCAGAGGACCTCACCCACACCCACACTTAACCTGCAACATGAATGAGAAAGAAACATTTGTGATCTGTAAGCCACCTGAGATCTTAGGGTTGTGTTATCATCACATACCATATTTTAGCATAGCATACTATAGCATAGCACAATACAGCATAGCATACCATAGCACAGGTGCAGCAATTAACTGTGTCTGCTACAGTATACATTTCCAAATATATGGGTCTACAACTGATAATAGTGTTTTCTTGTGGTGATTGTCATCTCTGTTATAAATCCATGGATGTGCCTCCTTTTGCCTTCCTATAGTGTTTATTTGCATTTTTGCCTTCTTCATTAGTCTTGCTATATATTTGTTCATTTTATTGGAGTTTTCAGAGTCGACTTTTATTATTTTTTTACCATCTCCCTCTTTTATCTGTTTTGTTTTCAATTTCATTTATTTCTAGTCCTCGCTTTTTTTATTTTCTTCTTCCTAATTTCTTTGGGTTTACCCTGACATTATTTTTTACAACTCCTTGAGTTAAATACCAAGTTCATTTAAGTCTTTTTTTTTTCTTCTGAATATTGCTTAAATTGCATTGGATAGTTTGGATATTTATTATTTTCATTGTCCTTCAGTTTTTAAATTCCTTATAATTTTCATTGCCTATTAACCCATGAATTATCTAGAACTTTTAAGTTTCAAAATAAATTTAGTTTTCAAATACATTAATAGTTTTACTCTTGATTTTTAAGTTGTTTTGGAGAGAGTTATCATTATGAAATCTATTCTTTGAAATGTATTGGGACTTCCTTTGTTATTCTCCTTATGTTTAATATTTGAAGATGATTCAAAACACTTTCTCATAGCATTTGCTACTTATTCAGTCCATAAATAACATGTTTTTACAGACAGCATTGCATATATGGATTTATATCTGTGTTTAGAAGGTTAGTTCCTTGATGGTAGAGGCAGTGTCCTGCACTTTTTATTTCCTTGCTGCACTACAATAGCACATAAAAGGTCTGTGTATGAGTGCACATGTGGGAAGGAAGATAGAGAGAAGGAAGGAGAAACAAAGAGAGAGAGAGGGAGAAAGTCATTATAAAAAGACTTTTTTGTTGTTTGTTTGTTTTTGAGAGGAAGTCCTGTTCTGTCACCGGGCTGGAATGCAGTGGTGCGATCTCGGCTCACTGCAACCTCCGCCAACTGGGTTCAAACGATTCTCCTGCCTCAGCCTCCTGACTAGTTCCTCAGGCACACATCACCATGCCTAGCTAATTTTTGTATTTTTAGTAGAGATGGGGTTTCACCATGTTGGCCAGGGTGGTCTCAATCTCTTGACCTCGTGATCCACCCGCCTCGGCCTCCCAAAGTGCTGGGATTACAGGCAGGAGCCACCCTGCCCAGCAAGACTATTTTTTGTTTTAGCTACAATGTTGCTAACAAACCACAATATAATGTTAAAATTGTATTATTAATCCTAGGGCTGGATTTCAAGACAATTCACATCTTTCTGAAAATAATAATAATGAAAATATTTTGAGCACTCACCATGGATCAGGCCCAATGCTAACTACTTTGCATGAATTTTCTCATTTAATCCTCATGAAATCCCAAAGAGTAGGTTTTATCATTATAGTTACTTTACAGATAGAGAAACAGAACCATGGGCTCACTCAGCTTCCTTTTACTCTTCTGGTCAAGTGAAACTATGTTTTCCTGAGACTTAAAGGTACTCTCTAACCCTGATGTCAGATATTTTTCTCATCATTATGAGGGGAGCAGAAAATGTCATTCTTCACTAGAGGCAGAAAATTCTTCCACATTTGGGTGAATGAATGAATGAATACTACATTCACCATTTAATATTGTATTGTGGTTTGTTAGCGACATTGTAGCAGTATCTGACATAGCATCTTAATACTTAGGAAGCACTATTTGTAAGGCAATGTGCTGTGTGCTACAGAATTTTTTAAAAAGAGTTACATCTGATGAATGGCTTCAAGGAATCTCTAATTCAGTAAGGGAAAAATGACATATATGACACAAGCAACCATAAAACAGTCTGTGATGCATGCATTAAGATGGTATTTTAGCTATTGTTACAATATTGCTAACAAACCATCCCAATATTCAGTAACTTACAATAACAATCATTTATTCTCATGCTCATAGATCTGCAGGCGGATCAACTGTGGGCCAATTCATCTGGGCTGGGCTCAGCTGGGTGGCTCTGCTTTGGACTGAGATTGGCTGGGCTTGGATCCTAGCTCTGAGTTGTTTGTTCTGGGGCTGAAGAGGCAGTGGCTACGCAGGGCATGTTCTTCTTATAGTGGGTCACCAGAATGCAAGATCCAAGCCAAACTGTGACAACATATTTAAGGCTTTTATTACATCTGCTAATGTTTCATTGACCAAAGCAAGTCACTGGGCCAAGCCTAACATTATTGTTGCGGGGAATTGTACTTTGTCCACAGTGAAAGAGGGGAAGGAGTAAATATTTGTTGAATAATAATTCAAATTATCACAGAGGAATACAAAATGCTTTGGGACAGAGGTTAGCAAACTATAGCCTGCAGGCAAATTTGGCCCACCACTTGTTTTTGAAAATAATGTTTTATTGGAAACCAGCCACATCTGCTCATTTACATACTATTTCTGCTTCTATATTACAGCAGCAGAGTTTAGTAGCTGCAACAGTCACTGAATGGCCAACAAAACCAAAAATATTCACTATCTGGCCCTTTACAGAAAAATTTGCTGATCCTGCTTAAGGAAATACAAGAAGGAAACAGTCTGTCAGCACAGAGGTTCTGTACCTATGCACACACCCTAAGGACAGCCTACCCATGCTACTCTCCAGAACCTCTTCCAACACATTTAGCAGGGGAAAGAGACATGCAAACATTTATTTTCCTGCCGACATGAATTATGTCATCCTGTCTTAAAAGGCAAAAATGACTCTAGTTAGTTTGGGATTTTAATAACATAGGTGTCCTCCATTATGTGTCAGTCAGGATACTGGAGATGCAAACAACAGAAACTGACTCTGGTTAATGTAACCAGGAAAGGGATTAGCTGTAAGCCTGTTGGGTGGTCCACAGACTTGATAGGAAGGTTGGGAAACCAGACCTGGGATGCCGTCAGAAAGCCAGGGAAGCTGAGCGAAGGGAACACGCAGCCAGCATGCAATGTGCCTGTCCCCCAGTGCCACACTGCTGCCACTGTGTCTACCCCACGCTGCTGCTGTCACAAACCTAACCCCACCTTCACTTAACCATGTGCCTCTCTCTCAAGGCTCAAAGTCCCAGAAGGAAAGGTCCCAGGTCAAATGCAGTATGGGGTCAGAGAGAGTTGCTGTCCTCCTTTCAGTTGAGAGAAGGATGGAGGCACTCTGACTCCCATTGTGACATAAACACTAACCCCAACAAGTTTTTCGAGAAGTTGCAAGAAGCTTCATTTTCTGAGTAGTTTTAAAAGGCAGTTATCCAGTCTGATGTGTATAACATCTGATTTAAGAACACTGAATGCAATGCTTTTATTTGCAAATGAGGAAAACAGACGCCCAAACAGGTCTGGCTCACAGTTCTTTTATGAGTTCTCAGAGCAAGAACTTAAACTCATGTCTTATCGTTTCTTGTCCAGATCTCTGGATGGCTCTGCCCTTTCATCTTGAAAGAGAGAACAGAGCAATGTCACTCCCTGCCTGTCCTCCTCCCTTGCAGATAGTTTTGAGGTTGAGGTTTGTGGATGGACCTTTGGGCCTCAACTAACCACCAGACTTGAGAGGCAGCTTTGGCCCTGGAAACCTAGAGACCTGGCTGAGGGGTCCAGAGGTGCTGGCTGGGGAGGCAGGTACTTAGCAGGCAGCACCCACCATAGGTAAAAAAGAAGGACGATCATGGTTTTCTCCCAGCTCCTGGCTGCAAGCACATCTCCCTGGAGCTGAAGCTTGTCCTCAGTGGCTGCCCTGTTCCCCACCTGACCCCACACTGATCCCTGGCTTCCAAGGCACTGTGACCTCTCTGGTTCCCTGGTTCCCTCCCTTTCTCCCTCAGGTCAGCCAAGAGCTGACCAGAGCTTCTAAAAGAGACTTTACTAGGGAACCAAAAGACAACAGCACCCACAGTGCTAAGCCTTCAGCACAGAGAAGGGTAAATTTACGCAGCTACTAGCTAACTAGACTAGCTTACCAGGAACCAAAAAATGCCTATTCCCAGGCGGCAGCCAATTTGCCTCTGCTCCTCCTCTGAAAGCCTCTCTGCTTGGCAGGAGTAGCCCAAACAGGAAGCCCAGCTCCTTCCACAGTTCTGATCCAGCAGATAGATGGGCATGCCCAGGAGACTTCTTCCACATCCCCCTCCTGCCTACGAGCCCACTGACTCTTTGGATAAAACGTGGTATAGGCAAAGCAAAGCAGAAATGGATTGGCTTATGTAACTGAAAAGCACAAAAGCAAGGATGCCTTCTGTTGTGCTTGGACAAGATATGAAAGCCATCAGGACTTGGTTTCACGCCATTTGTAGGCTCAGCCTCACTCTCAGGTTCCACATGGCACTTCCTGGTAGCATCAGGCTCTCACCTTATGGTGGTAAGACAACCACAGCAGCTCTTCATGTGATCTTAAGTTCAAGGCCAACAGGAAAGACCATGCCATCAGTTCTGCTAGTCCCTGCTAAATACCTGACAGTACTTCTGATTGAGCCTGATTTTCTTACATGCCCATCCCTGAACCAGTCACTGAGGATGGATGATGTGGCAGCTTGGCCAGGCTTGCTCCATCAGTCTTCCCCGCAGGCTTCCTGGACTAAGAATGAGGCCAGGGAAGAGCGGCATCCAAGCAAGCACTCTTTCTCTTTCCACGCCTTGCACTGAAGAGTGGCTTTCAGAATGCAAACTGACCAAATCACCACCCCCTCCTTTCCCTTGGACTCTCCAATAGCTTCCAATTGCTCTTTTGATAAAAATACAAGTCCTTCACTGGGCCTACAAACCCCAGCTGGGTCCTACTTCTACAGTCCATTCATCACCTTCTTTCTGCTCCTTGTACTGCTGGGCCCTTCCCACCAATGGGCCTCTGCACGAGCTGTTCCCTCTGCTTTGAACGCCCTTCCCTCTCCTCTTTGCCTAATTAATTTCTGCTTAGCCTTCAGGCTTTACTCAAGTGTCGGTTCTTCACAGAGCCTTGTCTCACCTCCCTGATGAGGTTAAATTTTCCTATTAGAGATCCTGTTGGTCCTCAAAGCAGTTGTCACAGTTGTACTTTTTAAGGTCATGTATGATTCTGAGATGTGCTTCTCTCTCTCCCTGTAGACTATCCTTCATTAGGGCAGAGATCAGGTCTGATTTTGCTTCATTGTTGTTTGTCAACCTCAAATAATCAAAAGGGCCAGAATCTAGTTTGTTTGTTGATTTTTCTATTTTTAGAGATAGGGTGTCACTCTGTCACCCAGGTTAAAGTGCAATGGCATAATCATAGCTCACTGCAGCCTCAGTTTTGACCTGGGATCTTCCCACATTCAGCCTCCCAAGTAGCAAGGACTACAGGTGTATACCACCACGCCTGGGTAATTTGTTTTCCACTTTTTGTAGAGACGAAGGTCTCACTATGTTGTCCAGGTTGGTCTCGAATTCCTGGCCCCAAGTGATCCTCCCACTTCAGCCCCCTAAAGTGCTGGGACACCATGCCCAGCCAGAAGCTGGTTCAAAGAGAGCTTATTTCAAGTGCAAAAGTTGAAGATGGC